AATGGATCAACTGGCTGTGGTCACATGGGACTTTGGGAGGACCAAATCTTAGAACCACAGATTTCCCCACAGGGTTATTACATATTTTATCCACTTTGTTTTGATGATAAACACATATAATAACTGACCATAAGCCATTTCTTGAAATTTATATTTTTTATTCAAATTGATATGTCATATCTGGTATGATGGGCATTAGACCCACTCTTGCTGTGTATTCTGGGAAGTACATGCATGATTGTGCTGCCCACTTACGTTCTAGTTATAAGAGGATCACTTCAGGCAGGAGTCAATACTTTTTCTTTTTAATTTTTTCTTAGTTTCTCTGTCCCTGCAAGTAGATTTTAAGTCTTCATCTTGATGAATTCATAAAGCTGATAGCAGCAGTTTCCAGGGGACTCCCCAATCTCTACTGTTCACTGGTGGCTCACACTTCAACACTGGACATACCTCTAGTGTGAGCTGCTCAGGGAATAGCACAGACATAAGGAAGAGCTCCCTTCTGCTGCCTCATGTAATAGTAAAAACAGTGGGTAAAATGGGGGTGGAAGCAGTGGGCATTAGAGGCAATTGGGGGATTGTGGTTGGAAAGTACATGAATAGGGTGGAAGTAATATTGGCTAGTGAGGAATTGATATGATTTGAGGGTGTAATATGCACCCACTAGGGATGCACCGAAATTTTCAGGTGAAAATGGTCCTATCCTATTTTGGCTGAAAATATGTCAAATCTGCCGAAAATTAAAGCCCATCACTAGCAGCCACCAAGCACTGCCTTAATGACAGCCTCCAACCCAGCACCGCCACCACTGACAGCCCCATGACACACATCCCAGTGAGGAAGCTCCTGTGCTGTTTACAGGCCTGGCTGTGGCCTACCCATGTGTGTCAGGTAGTGAGTAGACTGTGCCTGGTGTCCCCAGTCTGGGCTGCCTGTGGGGAACGGAGAACAGGCAGGGCCCCTGGCCGGTACCTGTCACAGGAAATCTCACTGTTCACTTTACTTCCATTAGCTGGGATCCCAGGGTTCACCATCCGAGTCCGGTGGCGAAAGGGGGGTCTCGGGTACCGTCAGGGAGTGTGGTGTGGGGAACCAGTCTGCCTGGGGAGAGAGCCAGCACAGCCTGCTGCTCCGCTGGGTGTGAGTTGCCGACTGTGCTGTATCTTGCGATCTCTGGCCAATCAGAGCGTTACCGCGGGTTACCACACTGGGGAGACAGACCACCGGACCACCAGGGAGCATGGACCAGTCACGGTCACTCTGTCGCCCCCTCCCTCGGTCATTCTCACCTGTCGCCCCCTCCCTCGGTCATTCTCACCTGTCGCCCCCTCCCTCGGTCATTCTCACCTGTAAGCCCTCCACCGGTCATTTCTCACCTGCCCCCTCCCTCGGTCATTCTCACCTGTAAGCCCCCTCCCTCGGTCATTCTCACCGAGTAAGCCCCCTCCCTCGGTCATTACTCTACCAGTGGCCCCCCTCCTCGGTCATTCTCACCTGTGATGCGCCCCTCCCTGCTGTGTCCTTTGGCCTCCTCTATTTTTCAAATAATTTGTGGAAAGGTCATTTTTGGTTTCGGCCCAGGGCATCTCAATTTCAGTTTGACCTTTAGAATTTTTTATTTTGGTGCATCCCCAAGCTCCCACATAGTGCATTATCGCTAACCCAGAAATACTTTCCTTATTCACACGATCTCTAACCAACACCTGCACTCCCACACGCATCCCTATATGAACATATAGACACACCAACCCACATTGGTGCATTCACACTGTGAAGACTAATACAAATATACCTCTCATTACCTTACACTGACGGTATATTGCAAGGTGTGTGCCATGAATCAACAACATTAATCTTAATGCATGTTGAGGGTGGTGAGCAAGTTTTAGGCCTTATTGGTAGATAAGGAAAAACAATTGTAACCTGATCGGTGTATTATCTATATAAATTTCTCTCTTTATTTTTCTCTTCCCATTTTAATATTGTTGGATTCACGTTGGAGGATCACTAGGCACCCAGACCACTTCAGCTCAGTGAGAGTGGACTGGGTCTCCAGGTATCTAGTGTTAACCCTGTAGCTGTAAACGCGAAGTTTTCATAGAAACTGCTTTGTTTACTAGAGATTAATCAACCCTCTAGTGGCTGTCTCACAGTGAAGGCGGCAGCGTCCATCGGAAAGCATTGAAATGCTTTCCTATGGACCTGTTGAATCGTCAGGATTCTGCTGATGTCAGAGGAGAGTTCCTGGCGCCCGAGGGAGCGGTATGGAGAAAGGTAAGTGTTTTAACCCCTTCAGCCCGGAGTGGGACCCTGAGGGATGGGGGGACCTAAGACTTCTTAGTGCCAGGAAAAAAAGTTTGTTTTCCTGGCACTATGGTGGTCATTTAAATATTCCACAAGGTAATTTCTAGTGTAGCATATTGGATTTGGAAATGTTGCAGTTTTTTTGCACTGATAAAATAACATTTAAAAAAAATATATATCTATCTCATTGAGTTTTCAGTCGTGGTGTAAAATAAAAGCTGTGATTTATTGATTGGACCACACAGCTCATGAACTGCATTTGGAGTATATGCACTCTTCTCAGTTTCAATAAAAAGGAAAAAGAAAACATTTTATGTTTTATGGATGTATAAAACTGTCTGTCATGATAACATTTTATTAATTAAAATGACTACACAGTTGCCACATTTTGTGAGTATGTAAAAAAAAAAAATATATATATAATATATATATATATATTATATATTTTTTTTTTTTATATTATTATTAAATACACTTTGTAACATTTGTTTTCCGTCCTGTGTGTACACATACTGCATAATTATTTGTAACCACACATATCCTACTTTGTACTAAAACAAATCTGGATATTGAATCCCAGAAATTGCCAGATTTTTATTGATTTGCCATACTATATTTCTTAAAAATCAAATGCAGACTTTATTTAAATAACTTATACCATAACAAATGTATGTTGTACAACAACAATTGGAAGTGATTTGTTTGATATAAAAAGTAATAGAGCATAGCTTGGCCTCTTCAGCACAATGTAGTGGGGGTAAATAAAGAAATCCAAAAAGCTATTTTTTTTTTTTTTTTTTTTTTATATGTTGGTGAATAGGCTCATATCATCATCATCATCATCATCTACAGTTCCATTTTTCAGAATAAGCAGATATTCATGTTGTTCAGCTTAGTTAATTTAATTCCCCTGGAAATTACTGGCTAATTAAAATCTTCTAGGAGCAGCTATGTTTTACGTTATCTACTCCTTGGCCAACAAGCCAAACATCACATTGTTAGTTTGCAATAACTGCATATTGTCCTGTAATAACATGTATAATTCTGTCCCCCTTTACTGTGCTTGCATCAAACTCAATAATGGTATCTTAATTTTTTAGTTTTAAATGTTTACAAGAGGTTTTATAGCATGTGCAGAAAACTGTAAATTGTGCAGTTGGTTGGAAAAGCTTCCTAAATGACCATATCCTATTGGGTTTCACATAGTCTGTTGCTGTTCTAAAAGAAAATGCAAACACAACACTTATATTTTTTTTTATGTTGTATCTCTATTTCATTTAGTTGAATTTTCCCTAAACATTTTATATTTTTTTATTTTGTTTCTTTTGTATGTAATGGCTGTTGTGATATCAAATGTAACTTTCAGAGACATGCATTATTTTAAGTTATTCAATTACAAGCAAACATTGTTTGCAGAAATTGTTGTAAATTAATGTTTTGTCCTGCCATTCTTCTGATCGTTACCATGACCAATGAATTTGCTTGCTGTCTTACAAGCTTTGTGTATTAATCATTCATTTTGGATTTCCTTACCCCTTCCTGGGAGGAGGTATTTATCAAAGGGACTTCCACCTGTATTGACAAATCTATTATGTCTGGACTTTTTTTTTTTTTTTGTGTGTTTATTTAAATGTGAAAGGCAAAATACAATCTTACTGATGTATTTAAAGATAGTGATTAAATACTTTTAAAAATGTGCAATATTTCTCAAAAATAGCATATATTCAATCATTAGTGTTAGAGCACATTTAGCTAGATTCTGTGTCCTTTTATATGGTGTCTCCGTGTTTGTGTTTTAATACTATATAGAGACTCCTGGGATGTATTACCTTTTTTTTTTTTCTTTTCACACACACTGCTTGCAGTCTGTGTCTGACTGCAGTCTGAACAATAAAGAGAGGAGGGTCCTACTTCTATTTTCTTCACCATGGAAACCTCACACTCCTGATTGCATAGGAGGGGTGTGGGCTCTAGAACAGCCACCCCTTCAGCACACAGAGGGTTAAAGGTAATGGATTAATTTGTAAATTAAACAATTTAATTTGCATGCACGGTCTATACATACTTTTTTTATTTTTTCTGCCTTCTCTTTTTTTTTTTTTTTAACCCTTGCACATATAGGACCATTTTACTGGCCTTTTTGAATGTTCTAGCGATTTAATGAACAGAAATAGGGAGAGCATGAAAAGCAAAGACGCAGTAAAGGTGGGTGAGGGGTGGGTGGTTAGAGCTCATGCAGCCACATACTTGGCTTTTCATGTAGTCAGGAAGTGAATGGGAACGTGTGTGTGGGAGAGGAGATCCTGCATTACGTCTCCTCTCTGACATTTCAATGGATTGTTTTATTCTGTTAAAACCTTCATCCCTCTCGTGCAGCTTGATGCGAGAGGGGCCATTTAAGGACACAGCTATGTCTGTGCTATAGGAGGATGGTGTGATCATGCGGTCTTTTAAGGACGCTTTGCCATGGTTTATGCTATAGAAAGATGGTGTCATGTATCCGAGCTTTAAATGTTTTGAAGCCACAACAGTATGCCCGAGGCATACTGTAATCAAGGGTGCTTTAAGGACATTAATGACCTTTATATATGTTCAGATTGCATTAAACTTCAGACCTCTTTTCCTGATAATTTATTTTCTCTTTCCACTCCGTTGTTCTTTCTGCCATTTGTCTTTTTATGGGTGTAATTTTTATTTTTTTTCTCATGCTAAATGTCTGTGGTTTTATACAATATAGAACAATTCAATCTTTTTATTTGTCTGCTTTCTGACATTTTGTTTGACAAAAACATTTAAAAGTAGATGACAATTGGTGGCGCTTTTGAGGATTAGTGTGAATGTATTTTCAAATATTCCAGGGCTTCTCAACCCAGTCATCAATTACCCCCTAACAGTCCAGGATGTAGGGTTTTAC